TTTATTTTCTGAAGTACCAGTCTCCACTGCTCCCTGGTAGCTCATTATGGTTTTAATCACACCACAGGAGCACATACTTAAGCGTTTGGGTCGCAAGACCACAGGTCTTTGAAAAGTGTTCTACTCACTTCCTGTCATTAGGCATGAGGACTCTCTCACTGTGGGCATCGGAAGCGACTGAAACAAATGGAGATGTAATGGTTCTTGTGCTGGCAGCATCTCACTCTTTCCTTTTCCCTTCAGAAACCACAGTAACGATTCCTAGCCATTTCTAAGTGTTCCTGATATACAACCTGATTCCAGGTTACTAAACACATTATGTTTGCTAACATTTCTTAGGTTATCCATTGTAAAATTTTAATCTAATTATTGATTACACTGCTTACCCACTTTAAAAATAATGAGCTCCACCAGGCATGGTGGTGCATGCCTATAATCCCAGCACTCAGGAGACTGAGGCAGGAGGATCGCCCAAGTTCAAGGCCAGCCTGGACTACATAGCCAGTCTGAACTGCATAGCAAGACCCTGCATCAAAAAACCAAAAAATAAATAATGAGCTTTTATGTTAGAGCCTTTTTTTTTGGTACTGGGGATCAAACTCAGGACCTTGGGCTTGTAAGGCCGGGCGGTGCCACTGAGCTAAATGCCCGGCCCTGTTAGGGCCTTTTCTAATCATCAGTACACACTTTCCTGTCACCAGTGATATGTCAGCCACCTACGACTCTGCTATACCTGTGTCTCCAGTAACTTCTGCTAACCCGAATAACAGTCAACATTAACGTTTCCGCTGAACATCGCAAGTAGAGGAGCCAAGTTCTAGGACCATGAGCACCTCAGGGACGAAGTCTGTCCTCCACCTGTCCTCGTATGAGGCTTGAGGGAAGGAAATGAAGGCATGAACTTTCAGAAATAATAAAAATTCAGTGGCGATGGCACACACCTGTAATCCTAGCTACTTGGGAGGCTGAGGCCGAAGGATCATGAGTTAAAAGACTCGTCTCAAGCTTTTAAAAAGTGAAGACCCTGGATTCAACATCCAACTTAAAAAGAAAAAAAGAAAGGGATGGGGTGGTGACTGGGATGTAGCTCGTGCCAGGGCCCTAGGTTCAGTCTCCAGTGCTGCCAAAAAAAACCCTGGAAACCTGCACTTACCAAGACAAGGTGGTGCCAGCAAAAGGACTAACAAACCAGTCCAACAGAAGAGAGCACAGAAATAGGTGGGGACTACTCTGTCTTCAACACAGACCCCAGGTCCATCAATGAAGGGAGGAAAGTCTACCAAATGGTGCTGGAAACCCTAAATATCCATGCAGAAAGTAAGACTCAGAACCTCGGCCATACACAAATGCTAAATGGAGGTGGAGCTTGCCTAAGTGTAAGAACTAACGCCAAGGAGCTTTCAGTGGAAAATGGGAGTGTCTTCATGTTTTGAGGCAGGCACAGGTTTCTTGGGTCGCCAAACACCCTAACAAAAGAGAAAGGTAAATTCTGTCTCATCAAAATTAAAATGTTCTGCTCATCAGAGATACCACAGTATGGTGGAGAACCTATGGCAGGCATGCTGTAGCTGGCAGGAGGAGCCCCCTCTGTCAGCCCGCAAACCAAGTCGCCTCAGCAGCCAAGCATCAGCCAACAGTTGTTTTTGCTAAACTGAAACCTCAGTATTTGCAGTGCTAGCAGTTTGCAATAACTAAGTGGGTTTGGGGTTGCAGTTTGGGTGAGCACTCAGTCTCTAAAAGGTTCGCCATCACTGCCACAGACGAAATGGATAGGAAAGCTACAAATTGGGGGAAATACTCTGTTACACAATACATAACTGACAGTGGACTAGCATCCGGGGTAAAGAATACCTGAAACTCAACAATAAAAAGAGAAATACATCCATACTATGGAACATTATTCAGTTATTAAAAAAAAGAAAGAAATGGAGCATCAAAGCATAGGAAGACATGGGGAACCTTAACCGCGTATTCCTATGTGAAAACCGATCTGAAGGCCCACTGCTGATTCCAACTGCATGACATTCTAGAAAAGGCAGAAGTGGAGAGGACCGACAGTGAGGCACGGGGGTTTTAGGGCAGTGAAACTGTTCTGCATGAAACTGTCACTAGATAGGCATCGTTACAGCATTGTCCAAAGCCACAGCATACACCACACAAAGAATGAACCTTAGCAAGAACTACAAACTTCAGTTGATGTGTCCATTTTGACAAAATGTATCCCTGACTGAAGGTATTAATATGGGAAACAGGGAGTAGTATGAGGAGAGAGGAACTCTGTACTTTGCATTCAATTTTTCTATAAACCTAAAACTGCTCAAAAAAAAAAAAAAAGGTGGGCATATGCTTATAATCCCAGCACTCTGGGAGGCTGAGGCAAGTGAGTCCATCAAAAGTTCAAGCCCACCCTGGGCAACTTAGTGAGACCTTGTCTCAAAAAATAAAAACAAAGGGAAGTCTACAAAAACATAAGGGAAGAAAAGCAGTACTAGAAAGACAACTCATTTTTTTTAATGGGCAAAATATTTTGTTCAAATACTTGACCAAGGAAGTAAACAAAAATGGTATAAACACATGAAAAAATGCTCAGCATCATCAGTCATTAAGGAAATGCAAATTGAAACTATAAGCTACCAGTCACCAGCACGGAGGACTGACGATGCCACCCACTGTGAAGATGGAACCGGACACTCCTGATTACTGCTGGAACCACAGAGACGAACAATCACTGGAGGAAGGGTTAGCAGCTTCTTCCAAAACCAAGCATGTCTAAGACTACCGTACCCCACACCGCCCCACTCACTCAGGGTGTATGAGAGAGACACAGCCACAAAAAGACCTGCACATGAGGAATCACAGGAGCTCTATTCATAGCAGCCCAAAGCCAGAGTCAGCCCCAGTCCCTGTCAAGTGAATGGCCGCACTAGGACATTCATTCCAGGGAATGCTGCTCAACAGTAAAAAGTAACAAGTTATGGTGTGTACAGCAGCACTGGTGGATCACAACACTGCTGTTTCTAGAAGCTTTTCCAAAGGAAAAACTGCGTAACACCATTCGTACAAAATTCTAGGACCTCCGGGGTGCAGGAGATGGGGACTGGCTGGGAAGCAGCAGCAGGGAGCGTTCCGGGTCGGCAGTAGCACCCCGCATCTGATAGGAGTTTGGGTTACTCAGGTGTTTCATCAGAATTTGAGAATACACGTTTAAGATTTGTGCATTTCAGTTTATACATTTTTCATTAAAACTTAGAAATAAACATTGACCTCTAGTTGATGTATATTCGTATGTATTTAGACGAAAGTGTATTAATGTCACTACTTCCTCAGACATGAAACAAAAATGGGGAGAGAAAGGGTGAGCAGGGATGGAGGACAGAGAGATCACTGGCTGTGAGGCAAGTACATACAGTTCAAAGGGAGTCAAGTACAGCTTATCACAGAAACCTTTCAACTCTGCTGTATGGCGAGAAGTTTTTATAATAAAATGTTGGCACCAGCAGTTTAAATAGAATTTAAAGAGCTAAAGTGCTAATATGACAGCCCTACAATATGATCAGGATTTTAGTTTCATAAACAATGAAGACAAATGGATAAATGTAAGAGTTTGCCTAAAACAGGTCAGAAAAGAGATAAAATGAAGTAGCAAATGGTACCTGGCCCTGGTAGGTTTCCTCCTCCTCCTGAGTGATCTCCATGCCTTGGATCTGGCCGAACTCGTTCGCCCCGTGTGCAGATCTGCCTGAGAGGTGGACAGGAGCAGTCCCCACTGACCTGGTCGCACCAAGTTAGCTGGGTCCCAGAGGCACCTCAGGACTTGTCACTGTCCAGCCTGCTGCCAGCCGCGATGCTGAAGGGCCCTCTCCAGTTCACCAAAGCACTGCTCATCAGACAACAGCCAAGCGCCTGACGTGCCACATGCCCAGAGGGTGGCAGCGGTAAAGCATCAGCAAGCAGGGGAGGCCAAGGACAGGCAGTGGCCTGCTAATCCAGGGATGACAACTTCCGAGGAGGTGTCCTGCAGGGGACGGTGCATGGCCTCACAAACAAGGCCTGACCATTCAAAACAGATGGAATGCACTCACCAAGGACAGTGGTGTTAAACCCCAGCCAGGAGAGTTCATCTGCTTCTAAGCCATGTAGTGGCCGCTAGGTGACTGTCATGGCCTAAGAGACAGGAAGAATTTTTGCTAGTTTATACATGAAACTAGACCCTGAACCAAATGGCATGCTCTCCATGGGTATCCTCTCCTCCTGAGCCAAGCCTGAGCCCGAACCAAGGCAGTCACAGCAGCAGCCGGCAACAGCCACTGTCTCGCTTAACGATGCACACTCTCCCTGTGCCTGGACTGCAGCCCCAGGCACCTCCCAGCCCTCAGCCGGGGCACCCTGTGCAGTGGGGTGCACCATGGCAGGCAGAGCAGGAGCTCGGCGACCAAACCCCAGGCCCACTTCCACAAGCAGCCTGTGCACTCAGCGGGAGGGCCCGGCTTTTAGGCCTAACCCCTGAGATGATCCGTGTAGCCCAGCTCCCACCTGCAGGGTCTCCTTCCCCCATCCAACTCCTCCGCGCCCACAGCCATCAGGAAGCTGCCGGGTTTCGAGCACCCAGGACTGGGCTCTGAGGTGCTTTGCACTGACTCTCGTCAGTCAGATGACCACACGGCACATCGGCCACTCACAGCAAGCCCTGTCCCCGCTGCTGGGCACACGGCACAAACTCCCCCAGCACACACTGTTAAAATTCCCACAGAAAATGCAGTTTGCCTGTGTGTCATGTCCCGCCGAAATCAGTGAGACCCAGGGTCCTCTCCGTCTGCTCAGAAACAGCGAGGCTGCCTGGGCCTGTGCATGTTCCGAGTCCCCTCGATCAGCCCCAGGCTGCTCCAGGACACCATGCCGTCTGCTCAGGACTGCACTGGTGGCCATTGGAATCAGGCAGCACCTTGTCTCCAGTCTCACTCCTGCCCCTGCTGAGGAAAAGCACACGACTTCCAAGCTGCTTGAATTAAAGCCTCCATTTATTTTTTTTCTTTTTTTTTCAATTTTTTTACAAAAAATCCAACGTAAGACCATTGTGCTCGTGGTTGGAGAAGGGTGGGGTGATGGACATGGCGTGATAGCAAAGAGCCCCCTTCCAATAGCATCTCAAGCCAGGCGACTCAGGGAAGGATGCTTCCCACCTTCCCAGACAAACAGGACCCCCATCCTCCTCCTTCCTGGACACAGGACCCCCACTCAGGATCCCTGATGAGGCGCAGCCCACACCGGAGAGACAAGGTTAGGGGTACAAAAGCCCAGCAGAGCCTGGTAAGCGCCCTGGGTGGCTGCCCTTAAGAAGATGAGACGAGGTGACAAACTGTGACCCACGGACAGCCAAGGGGACTGGGCCAGGAGGGCCGCTCTCCTGTGTGGAAGTCCCTGCTGGGCGTCCCCGATGAGCAAATTCAGAGGCAAAGCCCCAGGAGGCCCCATCCCACCTGGCAAGGTGGCGGCTGTCAATCCCAGAAGCACCTACAAGCCACACATGATGTCCCACTGTTCTACCTCTTGTGCCGAGGCCAGTCCTGAAGGACATGGTCAGTGTCCACTATGGCCTGCATCTGGTCCTTCAAGCTGGTGTCCCAGCAGGTCCAGACCAGGCCATCTCTGTCTGTCGCTCTGATGTCACTGACACTCTGCAGCACATGGTGATGGCATCCATAAGTGACAGAGACACTCGGGGACTGAGGACCTGGCCCCACAGAAGGGGCTCCAACCACACAGCCTACTTCTTCCCCACACAGGCCCGCTGCACCAGTTTCTAAGTTTCTTGCATTAAAAGAAGTAAGATAAAATAGCAGCCACGGATACAGCTCAAAACACCACACTCTTTGGCTTCCCTGAGGGAAGGAGGGTTCTGCTAGAGTCAAGTCAGAAGTCGGGAAAGGGCAGTTAGAAAGCAGGGGACAGGGAGCCCAGACGCTCTGCTATCAGAGAAGTGTGGCTCCAGTTCCCCAGGGAGCAGCCTGGTGCTACCTGCAGGTGAGCAGAGACACCTGGGCCCACCAGGCAGTGGGGACCCCAGGAAAGAATCCATTCAGACGGACCAGAGAGGAGCGTGCAGCACAGGAGGTCAAGGTCCAGGGAAGACAGGGCCGGCTTAAGGCATGTGCATGACCAGGACAGACCTGAGCTTTTGTTCTGTTTCTGGCAAATTCTCAACTCCACTTCAACAAAGTGGGGCTCGGAAAAACAGAAGTCAAGGACCAAATCTCTGACAAATGACACCCCTCCATTTCCCTATGCCATCATGAACAAAATGAGCTTATTTCACTTTCAGCCCAGGGAACAGAAATTTAAACCAGTAGTGGAAAATGGCAATGTGGGTGCAAACACCTGGAAGTTCCTGGCAAGTCTCGGCTTCCCACCCATCCTGGCACACTCCGGACGGACCTCAGGGCGTCCTGCAGCCAGCCTAGCATTAGGGGTCTGAAGCCCCAAGTGACAGCGGGAGCCGAGACAGATGAAGGGAAGGTGAATTTCCTCCAGGCAGGTGCCTTGCTGTATGACTTCCGGCCAGCCGGACAGGCAGGACCCTGAAAGGACACACTCAGCCTGCAGAGCCCAGGCCAACCTGGTGGCACAGGCTGCAGCTTCCATCCTCACATCCAAGGGAGAAAAACCTGCCAGAGAGCTAGACGCCAAAGCTGGTTTGTACCAGGAGGGCAGGCTCATTTCTCCTGCACTCTGCTTCCTTACTCTCCTCTCCCACACAAGGGTGACACCAGGAATGGGGTGAAGTCCTGGAACAGTGTGGCCTAATATTAAGTCCTCCAAAACCACCAGGCCCAGCAGAAGGCCACTCACTGCTCACAGGGTGCAGGCCCTTCCTGGGCCACCCGTGGGAGGAGGCAAGTTCCAGATGGACCTCAGGGAAGGCACAAACCGACAGGGCTTGTCTCATCTTGTCCATGGACCCCTAAGAGGCCAAGTCCACCCCTTTCCTGTTTCTGGGCTCAGATGTCCCATGAGCAAGGAGATGAAAAGCAGAAGTCAGCTCACATTGGCCAGGATCCACCTCCACTAAAATACAGAACATGAGGGGCCTGGTGGGTCCCTCCCTTGGAGAGAAGCAACTGTTCCAACTCCCCCCACTATATATATCTATACATAGATATACATACAGATATACATACATGTGTGTATATATATATGTATATGTATGTGAATGTGTACATATATATGTATATATATGCACATATGTATATATACACACACGTATATAAATAAGCCTGGAATGGCACATCTGAAACTTTCTTTTTAAATAATAGTTGTTACTGAATTTAATAACCACAAACCAGCTGTCCTGGGCTTACAAACTGGCAAGGGACTGCCCAGAGTCCCTGTGGTCCTCAGTGTACACTATCAGTCAGTGCCCTGTGTGGAAGCCCCAGTCTGCTGACCAGGGTTCCGGGCCCAGTGTGGCCGACTTCCAGATAAGGGCAGCTATTTCCTCTCCACTCTTCCTGCTGCCTCTCCCAGCAGAGGTGTGGGCCACCCACCCAGTGGATGTCCCAAGGCCCTCAGTGCCCAGAACCTTGGAAGCCATCTCCCCTGTCCCACCCACCCTCTGCCCACAGCTTGCAACGCCCTAGATGAACTTGAAGCACTTGGTCTTGTCGTGGGGCAGGCGCGTCTTGAACAGCACAGAGTCCACCCTGAACTGAGTGTACAGCAGGGGCACGTAGCCATACACCTTGACGAAGAAGTTGATGCATTTGTGCCGCTCGTGGAAGTGGGAGTCATCGTGTGACAGGGCCTGAGGGCACCCCGGGCATCGGAAAGTCCACCGTGAGGTCACCTGGGAAGAGGGAGGACAGCAGTGTCAATTATGGGACTGACACTGACAGGGACCTTGAGGTTCTGCCAACTCAGTGACCAGGTGAAGCCCTGGGCCTGCTGACTCGCCAAGAGTCACCATCTGACCCCATAAGTACCTCAAACCTTTACTATGACAAAGGCGTCCTTTCCAAATGGCCTATGCTTAACAGATATCAAAAGCCTCAAAATATTGAGTGTTATTTGGCTCAGTAATTCTACTTCCAGTATTTATCTTGGTTGTACAGCAAAGTGTTGGTACAAAGTGCACTTCATTGATGTTTTTAATAGCAAAATACTGGAAATTCCCCCAACATATGGGAATTTAACTAGTGGCTGCGCCTGTGAATGATGGAGGAAGGGGATCAAACTGGACTTTCTGGTTGTTCGCAGTGACCTGACTTATTGTAGCCCAAACCTGCTCAGTGATTTAAAAAAACTCATTTCTAGACTTCTGCTGTACTTCCATTTTTGAGCAAATGCCTTATATAAGTACTTACTGACATACCAGGCACTATTCTTAGAGCTTTGCATGTATCAACTGAGGGATTCTTACTTTTTTTTGATGGACACACTGTACCCTCCCATTTGCCAATCTGGTGAAGCCTGTGGACTCATTACTGTGGAAACATTACTTTGAGATATTGCAACAAATGTGACACAAAAGTCCCTGTGATTTCTTGTGATGACAAATCAGTTACTCCACATGCCCTGAGGAACTCTAGTCTAGTTCATAACCGCAGGTCACAGTGAGTAGAAGTAAAGACACTGGTCTTTATGGGGGTTCCAAACCCTCTGTGTCCCATCCATCGGCCTTAGGAGTGAAAAGCCTGGTGGTATCCACTCATCCCATGACAATCCTGTGAGGTAGGTGGTGTCCTCACCCACTTCACAGAGGAGACTCTGAGGTGTGAGGCTGGCAGGAACCGCCACAGCCCGGCAAGAGAGTTCTGTTTGCACACGCACAGCTCCACAGGCCTCAGGCCCTCACCTTGATGGGGGGTTTCCGAGTGATGTGGGAGACCAGGAAGTTCATGGCGATGTCCTCACAGTTAATGTATTCATCCACCATATCTCGGATGGCCTGGGGCATCACGTAAGAATACAGGTAGGCATAATACTGTCGGAGGAAGAAAAGCAATCACACACTTCGTTACAGGACAGTTTCAGCTTTCAGCAGAAACACGCATGGTCTAGGGGTGTATGGGGTGGTTTTAGTTGTGGCGGTAACTGAGAAGCACCACTGGTGTTAAGAGCCAGGACCCGGGCTGCCAAACATCCTGCAACACAGCTGTTCGGCAGTGAACAGCTGCCCTGCTAACTGCCAGGGGCACCTCTCTGAGAAACAGAACTTCACAGCCTGGCTGGTGTCTCAGCAAGGTGGAAATTAATACAAAAACTTGTCAGACTAAGGGAAACACTGGTTCAGGTGAACAATATTCAGCCTCCGAGTGCCAACAAGAGGTAAGTGAGGGGAAACAACTAGTTATCTTCTCAGACCTCAGTCACAGAACCACGAGGCATGGGACCCATCACTGACTGCCTCACAAGGGATTCCTGAGTCGCTGATACGGTTTATTTCTGGATGTCTGCCTGCAGCCTCACGCACTCACAGCTGGGAGGTGGTTAGATCGCAGGGGGTGATAGTCATGCAGACTGATAAGTCCCCTGATGACTTTATAGCTAAATCTGAAGTTACTGGGTCACTGGGGTGTGGCCTGGAAGGGTCATCTCCCCCACCACCACCACTCTGCTTCCGGCTGCCATGCTTGTATGAGCCGTGGAGCCAGCCAACTGGGGACTGAGTCCTCCACTGTGAGGCAAAACAAGCTTTTTCTCCTTTGATTTGAGGGTGTCCAGTACGTCTCAGTGACAAGAAAGTAAGTCGGTCACTTCTCAGCACTGCCACACACTACTCCCTCGCCTCAGCCCCCTGAATCTCTGCCCAGATGATTCAGTCTTCTGAAGTCTCCCTGACTGCCACACGTCCGCTTCCCTCACTGCATTCTCAGTGCAGCCACCTGAACACACCACACCCTTCTCCTCACCCTCCGAGGGCGGGTGTCTGTCTCCCTCAGAGCAACGGCCACGCCTTTCACATTCCCCGCTGAGACAGGCGCAGTGGTGCACAGCTGTAATCCCAGCTACTTAGGAAGCTGCAGCAGGAGGAGAGCAAACTCAAAGACAGCATGGGCAACCAGCAAATCCTGTCCCAAAAAGGAAAAAGTCCCAAAAGGCCCATAAAGTAGTGCGCTGAAGCGGGCTCACACCTGCTAACATGCTAACCAATCACTTTTCACAAATTTTATGAACTGCTGTTAAACACAGCTATTATTAAGAAAGTAATTATGTAAGCTAAAAATTAGTGCAACAAATGTCCAAAACTTAGCACTTCTTGTCTACTGAATCTGTGGCAGACACTACATAATGGCGCACAACCGCACACCTCTTCCCAGCTCCATCAATCAACCAGAGTATGAAGATTTACACCACAAAACCGGCAGGGACTATAAAATATGGCAGAGGTCAACTTCAAGGTGTTGCAAGAGGCTGGTGACAAGCAAATGAATAGTGGAGGACCCAGTTAAGCTGACTTACATATTTCATCTCCTAAAGTAGTACGATCTGTAGAGGAATAATAGTCATAAAAAACTTTTGTAGCTGGTAGTTTGAGAGTAGTTTGTAGTTTGCTGGTTAGCATGGAGAAAAGTACTTCAGGTGCAGTGATCTTAAAAGATGAATTATAGTTTTTAATAAAAAAGTTAAGATAATTCTAATTTGCTGACCCTTTAAATGGCCCTGGGCTCTGATTAGTAGCTAATGAGAACAAACAGTAATTAAACACTATCATACCTTAAGGAAAAGGTGACACTTTAACAATAAGAAGCAAATGCTATTTTTAAAAACCAATGGAGAAAATATTATGAAAACAAACATTTGGAAGTACTTCCAGTATATTAAATGGTTTTGTTCCCCCCAAAATGTTTTATATTAATCTATAAAAATGCATATCTGTACATTTTAAAAACAAAACCTTGGGCGGGGGATTTAGCTCAGTGGTTTTGTTGTCCGCTGCGCAAGCGCAAGGACCCCAGTTTGATCCCCAGTACCAAAAAACAAAACAAAACAAAAAAAACCTTTTCTAACCTCTTAAAAAATTTTTTTTGGTAGGGCCAGAGCTCAAACCCAGGGGCTCAATACAAACCCCACAAGTGCTCTACCATTCACCTATAGCCCCAGCTCAAAATTCTTTTAAATGAAGTTTTAATGGATTTAGAACCTCCTCTAAAATATAAAAATGCAAGACCTTTCCATTTTGCTAACATCTGTAGTCCCAGCAACTCCAAAGGCTGAGGCAGGAAGACTGAACCTAGGAGTTAGGGACCACTGTGGGCAACAAAGCGAGATGCACTCCTAAACAACCAAGATCTATGACTTGCCATAACACACAGTATAACATCAGTATTTTCAAAATTAATAAAGCATATTCAATCATACTGCTATCTCTAAAACTGAAGAATTAAGGGAGGACATTTTGAAACTTCTCAACTTTTAAAAGGTTTCTGTAAGTACAGCAGTACACGCACATCATTTATAAATAAATACATGTATGTATTAGGTACATGTTCAAAAAGTTTTACTAATAGTCACCTATGATTCAAAAGAAAACTGCACTGCTGTAGGTTTAGGAAGATCAATTTAATTACCACCAAGGGCAAGGGAGCAAGACACATAAGTGACATTTTAGACAAAAGTCGGGGGTGCAGGGCAAATGAGCACTGGGAGCTGTGGCCCCACAGCTCCAGCCAGTTGCTCCCAAGCCCCACGAGGGCCTCAGCTGCCTTTTCAATGCAGTTCAGACTTTCTGTAAAATCCTGTGGTTTTTAAAGCTGGTGGTGTCTAAGACAACACTGAGGACCCAAAACACTCCTGTGAGCCAAGTGTGAGCCAAGGGCTTAGTTTGTGACCTCTGCTCCAGATGTTCAAATAGGAAAGATATGAAGCTTCATTAAGTAAATTATTTCTCTGAAACTAAAAGGACCTGACCATTAACTTTCGAAGAGCAATCAGAGTTTGAACAGGCAGACGCCCTGCCCCCCGGCAGGCAAGTGAGCCTCAAGGTAGGACCACACACTGAGAGAAGCCTGGCTCCCGAGGGGAGCAACTGTGAAAATGAATGGATTCGCAAATAGCCCTGGTTTCCCAGGCAACCACCCTCCAACTCCCTGCCCCTCTCCCCGAGCCTTGCCATGGTCTGCCAAGTTGGGAAAGGAATGAGATGTGTACAGCAGCCTCACACGCTCAGTTGTTTTTTTTTTAAAAACCGAAGCTGAAAGTTTCATGACTTCTTACTCTAGTTCAAAATATCCCTAACTAAGATGACTTTGAGGTTTAGTCCATGATGGGCCCGTGGTGAGGCAGAACATGGCAGCAAGAGCCTGTGGCAGAGGAGGATGTTCCCGATGGGGGCAGGAAGAAACAGAGAACAAGGGGTGGGGGCCAACCCCTTCAAGCCCACACCCCCAGTGACCAACTTCCTCCAATTAGGCCCACCTCCCAACACTTCCACCACCTCTCAAGTATGTCATCCTCTGGGGGAGCTCTGGGGAACTTCAAGATCCAAACCACAACACCAGCTTCCGCCTGCTGATGCTGGGCCACATCTGGGACGGCAGTGCTGAAACAGAAGGTATCTGACAGGTCTTTTGGCCCTGTGCCCTCGGTGTGATGGAGGGAGAGCCAAGCCGGGAAAGAGGAGCCAGTGTCCCCCACTGGCCTGTGTGCACCTCTACAGGCAGCCTTCGTCCTGACTCTTTATGGTAGAATTGCTCTAAGCGTCGTGATCAGTGTCTCTAAAACAGGAATCACTTCAGACAAGAAGGGCCACAGAAAGAGCAGGAGGGAGGCTAATGCCTAGGTGAGGGCAGCTCAGTGCCACACAGAGACTCAACTCCTCCTAAGCAGCAAGGCTGCGACGAGCTCTCCTACCTTGTGAAAGAAGGCAGCGCCCGTCAGCACCATGGACAGCTCGCAGGAGTAGTTGGAGTTGTAGAGCCAGGACTGGTGAGGGATGTCCCACGCGTGGTACCGGCCGGGGAAGCCCACGATGCGGTCCCGCGCTTCTCTCCACACCCTCAAAAACACAAGTGTGCATACCTGAGTACACAGCTCTCGGGCTACCAGGGCACTGACACTGACTGGCCACTGGGCTTTTCTTTTCCTCTTTTTTTTAAATAAAATTAATCACAAGCCAAATATAATAACCAATAAACAGTTTCACAGAAGCTTCCTTGTTAAGTATCTGTCTATTACCCCTCATTTCTGTCAGCTATTACCTCTCCAGTCTGACAGAAAGAACAAGCTAAGATACCATGGGCAGGAGTTTCCAGAATATAGTAGGGAGGGGCCAGGGATTTAGCTCAGTGCTTCCGCTGCCTGCCTCGCAAGTGCAAGGTTCTGAGTTTGATCCCCGATACCCAAAAAAATAAAGCAGAAAACAGAACATGGTAGGTATAACAATCCGCCAAGAGGCAGGAAAAAGGTATCAATTTCTGTTTCTATTTTTCTTTTGTTTTTTTTGAGACAGGGTCTTGAATTCAGGCTGGATTTGAACTATGTAACCCAGGCTGGCTTTGAACTCACAACAATCCTCCTGCCTCAGCCTCCTAAGGGCTGGGATTACACCCATGCACCACCAAGCCTGGCTCTAGTTTTTTTTTTTTTTGTACCAGAGATCGAACTTGGGACCTTGCACTTGCGAGGCAGGCGGTGGAAGCACTGAGCTAAATCCCCGGCCCTCTAGTTTAATTTCTTAAAGATTTATTTTAATGAGCAGGATCCATTAGTTCAGTTGGACACATATGCACATATGTAATTTCTGGATGCTGCATACTTAACTATTCTTTCTCCGGGAGGGCACACAATGAGAAGAATTTAGAGACCTCTGGCCTCTGGCTCCTGCATATGGCTGCCTGCAGGAAGAGCACTGGTCCTAAGTCCTAAACCGTGCAGGGCTGAGGAAGAAACCTGCCTCGTGAGAGTACTCTACAGAAACATACCACCAGCAGGTCTCTTAAAATGCAAGAAACAAACTGAGAATTCAGTATGTTTCAGGAGAAACTCATCATTTCCAAATTTATAGATAAGGTAAAAAAACAAAATCAGGGCGAGGGATTTAGCTCAGTGGTTCCGCCGCCTGCCTCAAAAGCACAAGGACCTGAGTTTGATCCCCAGTACCAAAAAAAAAAACAACCCAAAATCAGTCCACAGTTCCTCAGACTGCAACTGGAAGCTGAAAGCTCCACAGAACCTAGAAAGCCCTGAAGGGCTCCAGGAAACGAAAGCTGCATGAGAATCCCTCGCCACTTCCAAGGAACTTCAATTCCTAAAACATTAAGGATTTAATTTCAAAGCAGTTCCTTTCCTAATGAGTTTGAAAGTAACTATCTAGTCTAACAGATGACAAATCACAACTTCTGGCACAATATAACAGCTTTGTGTGGACTTTCTTTTTAAACAGCTGACTTTTTTATGTGGTGACTATGCACACAGCCAAGGACAATTTTAACCCTTTTTAAGGATGCACAGTTCAGTGATGTTAAAGATACCTACACTGGTGTGCAACCATCAGCACCACCCATCTCTAGAACCTTTCTATCTTCCCGAACTGAAACTCTGTTCCTCCCAGCGTCACCCAGCCCCCTCCCCGGCCCTGGCCCTCCCCACTCTCCCTCCTATCTCTCTGGAGCCGCGTGTAAGTGGAATCACACAGCATTTAGCCTTCGGGCTATGACAAATGCTGCTGCTGTGATCGCTCGTGTCTGCCTTGCGTGTGGACGAGTCTCTTAAGTGCCTGGCTTTCTTGACTTCTTGGGTCGAAGTTAGTCGAGGTGTACATTTTGCCAGAGGGAAGAACTCTTATGCTCAATTTTTTTCTTTTTGAACCTAGGTCTATTTTACTCTCATTCAAGTGAAATAAGCAAATTGGGGGAATGAATAAAAACAAAGCTTTTAGATCAAAGGATGCCCAAACAGCTGAGAAAAGAGTAGCAGAGGGGAAAGGTTAGGCTGTATAGCCAGAAACAATTCACCAGTTCTACTGCCCAAGGCTAAACTCCGATTCCAAACGATAGAGACACAGGAAAAGCCATCCCAGCCAGGCATGGTGGCACATGCCTGTAATCCCAGCACTTGGGAACCTGAGGCAGGAGAGTCGCAAGTTCGAAGTCAGCAGGGCTGCCCACTGAGTTCAAGGAGAAGCTCAACTATATAGCAAGATTCTGTCTCAAAAAGAAAAAACAAAAGAAAGAAAGAAAGAAAAAATCAAAAACCAAAAGGAAACCCACTATTTTCTCACCACCTGGAAATCTTTTGAAAAATGGCAGAGAAAAGGTCATATCTTCTAAGTCAGGAGCCACGGAAGACAGGATATGCCAGTATACTAATAAAATTCAAACTCATCAAAGTGGGGATCCTCCTCAGAATCATCCTTGGGATCCAGAGGTGAGGGCAACAACTCCCGTCAACACCCACAGCTCTGCATGCAGCTCCGCAAGCCTCTGCAGGCACTACGTCGTGCCACACCAAAAATTCCCTTCCTCACCACCAATAACAACACCTGCAACAGCAAAGACCATTTCTAGAGCTGTTCATCACTTTCTTCCCTACATAAAAGGGAGAGCACACCAGCTATTTATCATGTACAAAGGAATACACCCCAGTTTAGCCAGATTTTTTTTTTTTATCACAGCTAGCAACATAAACTTTGCTTTAAAATGTACTAGGAGGCCAAAGGAAATGTGGGAGGTTGGTGGGAGGAGAGAACAAACATGTTCAAATGTGTCAGCAATGTGTCAAACTGTTCTCTACAGATGGGTTTAAGGTAGATCCAGCAGTAAAGTCACTGTTCTTTTCATCTCTTTTATTCTGTGCACTTCTATTTACAAACCTGAGCCAGAGGAGCTGAGAGCTGGGGAGGTCAGGTTAGGCATTCAGGACAGAATGGACACACGCAGAAGAGAGCTCTCGCTCCTGAATCAACCTTTATTTGAACAAGACCTCCAAAGAAATGTCCTCCAGTGCTTCTCAAGCTTTCTGTGGTTAGCCAGGCATGGTGGCGCACCCCTGTAATCCCAGCACTCGCAAGGCTGAGACAGGAAGACTGTCGGAAGTGAGGCCAGCCTAGGCTACATAGAGAGTTTGAGGCCAGCCTGAATTACATAGTGAGACCATCTCAAAATAAATAAACTTTCTGTGGTCAACAAGTAATCTTTCCTAATTCACTGTGGACTAATTCTTTTGTAAAACACTATGAAAATGAACTGCATAGATTCTTTTTGTGGGGGGTGGACGGGGTCTTGCTGTGTAGTCAGTCTGGCCTTGAACTCACTATGTAGCCCAAACTGGCCTCTAACTTGAAGCAATCCTCCTGCCTCAGCCTCCCCAGGGCTGAGATTACAGGTGCGCACCACCATGTCCAGCTTGCATGGATTCTTAAATAGGATACCTAGAGCACAAAGAAAACACAGATAAACTGGACTTCATCAAAATTTAAAACTTCATACTTCAAAAGATACCACCAAAAAAGTAAAAAGGCAGCCTGTCAAATAGAAATTATTTAGTTCATATCTCTGATAAGGGACTTGCATCTAGAATAAAAAACTCTCACAACTCAATAATAAAAAGACAAATCATCCAATAAAATGGGTGCAGGATCTCAACAGACATCTCTCCAAAGATACACAAATGGCCAACTGGCCAATTAGTACATGCAAAGAGATTTCATAACCTCAGTCATTAGCAAACCCAAATCTAAACTATACTGAGCACTTCACATCCACTTGGCACTGACAAGGATGTGGAGAAGTAATGGGAACAAGAAGTACAAATGACCCAAATGTCCACCGATGAGTAGGTGAAAAAAATGTGGGGTGGCCATGTAAAAGGATGAAGCCCGGTGCATGCCACAAGAAAGTACACCTGGAAACACCCTGCTAAGTGAAGGAAGCTAGTCACTACACAGTTTCATTGATACGAAATGTCCAGCATAGGCACAAAATCTAGAGAGACACAAGTTTAGCCTAGGACTTAGAAAGGCTGGAGGAAAATGGGAATGAATACTCACAGGCACAGGATTTCTTTAGATGGTGATGAAATTTTTTACATTGACTTGTGCTGCTTATACTAGAAACCAGCGAATTGTATAATTAAAGGAGTTAATTGTATGATACAGGAATTTTTCAATAAATAGTACCAAAAGGTATGGAATTATAAAAAAAAGACCCTAAACTTAGATGTCACACAAAATGTCAAAGTGCTATACAAGTTACAGGCGGTGTGGTGGTGCACACCTGTGATCCCAGTACTCAAGAGGCTGAGGCAGGAGGATCACTGTGAGTTCAAGGCCAGCCTGAACTACACAGTGAGACTGTGTCTCAAGAAACAAACAAAAAAGTGCTTTACAAGTTTCTAAATGCTTGCCCTCCTTCTTCTCGGATACCACGGATACATACCACCACGGATACATAACAAACTGACTCCAGCGTCACATAGCAGTCCTGCCCCTCCATGCGCTCACCCACTGTGCCCTCACTGGGATGCCTGAGCCTAACAGCAACCAAGTCCCAAGATGAAGGAAACAGCAGAGTACAGTGGCTGAGGGAGAATGCCAGCTCTGACCATCACTCGCCCTCTAGCTTCACTCTGCAATCTCAATTACTACACCAAGACAGGGTGTGCCCACAACCTGCTCCAAGTCCTTCAAGGAGCAGTGAGAAAAAGCAAAGTGCTCAGCTAGTGCCTGCCACACAGTCTGGGCTCCACACGAGCTGAGTAGCTGCAGCAGCAGCTTCTCCACTCCCCTTTTTCCTACTGGATCTTTGCTTCCAAGCCCACCTCCCCACATCTCTGTGGGCCTGGGATTCTGGCCCTGTTCCATTGCTCTATACAGGCCAAGAAGTAGTCCCTTCTGCCTGCCCAGGAAGTCAGTTCCCATCCCTCTGACACAGAGGCCTCCAACTTGCTCTAGAAAACTTCGGCCCGCAGGGATTGCATTTGAGGCTGATGATTCTGTAGCTCCAGCCAACCAAAGAGCCCCTGCCTCCCGGGCCCGGGGATTACAGAGAGGAGCCTGGCGAGCCTCATCCAATGTCAGCCCTTTCAGCCTCCAGCATCTCTCCACCACTATGACCAGTAAACCCCTCTGCCACCTCATCCAGGCCAGAGTTCTGTCTCTTGCAAGTGCAAGTGTTTCTGAACTGAGAATCGCCCTCACCGAAAGCCAAACATGATCTCGTCATGGCGGAGGTGGGCGTCGTCGTCGATGGACAGGATGGCCTCTGTCTCAATCTCGTTCCAGGGCAGGAAGCGATTGTTCAGACTGTTCTTCTCAGTCCGGACCACCTGCAGCGAGGGAGCAGAGGCACGGGCGTCAGTGCTGTGTGAGGGAAGGCAAATCTGGAAGGGCCGTAGTCAAGGACAACAGCGGTTATCCTTACTGGGCTGGGCTTCTTTACCTACCACTCGTCCAGCCCAGCTACCACCTGGGGCGGGGATTTAGCTCAGTGGTTTTGCCGCCTGTTGCGCAAGTGCAAGGACCCGAGTTTGATCCCCAGTACCAAAAACAAAACAAATAAACAAACAAACAAAAAAGAATACTACCACCTGAGAATTCAAGAAATAAATGCATGACAAAGATTTCACAGTTGAAGCTTTATTCATTAACTCATTTTCTTGTGGAAAAAAACTAAACTAATGTGAGCATTATTTTGCAATAAACCCAGTCCGGGAGATTAAAAATAACTTTCCCAAGAGAACACCAGGTGGCAGAGCGGAACTGAGATTCAATGTCCCAGCTCTGAATCACTCAGCTGGCCCATCAGTTTTAAAACCACACTCAGAAACCCCTTCAGCCGGTACCCTTAAGGCCTCTGGGGTGGGGACGTAGACTATACTGTTGACATAACTACTTCACCTTTGTAATGCACAGCACTGAGGACACATACAAAAGCACTTTTTTTTTTTTTTTTTTAGTTTGTTGAGACAGGGTCTTGCTTTGTAGTTCAGGCTGGGCTCAAACTCACTATGTAGCCCAGGCTGGCCTTGAAGTTGTGGTGCTCCTCCTGCCTCAGCCTCCCGAGTGCTGGGATTATAGATATGCACCATTATGCCTGGCTTCTTTCTTCATAATTTTATTTTGAGAAAGAGCCTAAGTTGTCAAGGCTGGCCTCAAACTCAAGATCCTCTGCCTCACACAAAGGTAGGATTACAAGTGCGTGCCACCATGCCCTGTGCTCTTTTTTAGCTAAATTAGTCCAACTAATGAAGCATCATTTTATTCTCAAAAAGAGAATCTCACAGGGAACTATCTTTTTAAAAAGCCAATAGGGTCATCTTGCTTTCAACAGGTGGCTTTACTTGTATAGAGGACTAGCTCCCCCTGGCTCAGTGCACTCCTATGCCCTCAGGAGTCTCTTCAGCTTCAGACATCTTTCCTTCCATTCTGTCTCCCCCAAAGACCTAGCTAAGAGCCTCTAGTCATACACACCCCACCCCTGCCACTTCTCAGACTGAATCACTTCTGTGTTCTTGATGCAGAGAACTCACACTTTGGTGAATTCATTCTAACACCCTTACAACAGAATTTATTCAGAAAGGAAGAGGGCCTTGGAGAGAATGTGGTCCAAGTGTCATTCTACATGGACAAGCTAAGGCCTAGGATGGCTACATCACAGAAGTGGCAAGCTACAAATGCTTGAACTCTCAATGGTACCAGCCCAGTTCAAATCCAGGCCTTTTCTGCTAACCTGATGTTAACTTCATCAATTTCAAACCAGAGCACGATAAAAAATGCCCTTCCCCTCTTTTGTCCCTGTACTAGGGACTGAACCCAAGGCCCCATGCATACTAGACAAGTGCTGTGCTTCTGAGCTATAACCCCAGTCCCTTTTGACTTTGAGAGTCTAAGTTCTGGTCTCAAACTTGTGATCTTCCTGCCTCAAACCCCCAAGTAGCTGGGATTATAGGTATGCACCACCACCCTGGCCCCAAAGGGCAATATTAATTTATGTACCATCAAGGAAAAAAGTGCTGCTGATTATAAAAGCACGTGAATAACTGATCCCTTGGAATGCTACTCCATCAAAAGCTTTTCTTAAGACTTTGCCTCAGCTCCACAAAAATTCCAGCCCAAATCAAGACAAAGTGGGCTGGGTGCGGCTCAGTGGCGTAGCACTTGCCTACCATACATGATACCATGGTAAAGATGGACCTACATCTCCGAGGTACTACAGGTACCAATGTCCCACCCAAGTGCCACACACCGAAGTCCACCTTACTCTGCAGCATGTCTGACCAGTCGGGAGCAGAGGCCTGGCACAGATGCAGTGGTGATAACACAAAGGAGCTGAGGTGGGGTCGGGGCACAGAGGAGGGTGGCCACCAAGTGTTCAGCTCTGCAGTGCCTGAGCTCCACTCCCCAGAGACTGCAGGGTGGCCGAAGTGGCAGGAGCCAAAAGGTACACACAGTGGTAGTCATGCACTGTAAGAGGCGTCCCAACCTGAAAGGTGTCACAGTGTGAACAGTGTCCACCTTAGACGGCATGCAGGATGGTTGCCATTCACTCAGACCCCTGCCAGACCACTCGTTTCCCTTTCCCACATTACAGCATTCACTTCACACTGAACTGCAACTCCGCCAGGTCAGCTGCCCAAAGTTCCGCCTCCAGCAGTGAACAGTCAGAGCTGAAAGTCCAGCAATGAATATACACAGCTAAAGATATTTGAAAAATTCAATTCTTAGCCAGGCATGGTGGCACACACCTGTAGTCCCAGCACTCAGGAGACTGAGGCAGAAGGGTCACTGCAAGTTTAAGGTTACCCTGAACTACACAGTGAGACCCGGACTCAAGAAAACAAAACAAAAATTTCAATTTTTAAATATGTGCTTGGAGATTTTCGATTTTGTGGATTTATCTCCATGAGTATTATTTACAGCAAAATGAGTTAATACAGAGCACAGCGCAGAGCCTGAGGACTCAGTGTGACCTGAAGTCCAGTAGAGGGACTTCACCTGGGGCCACCTGAAACAGACCTGCACCCAAGAGCCAAACCTGTACATCAAAGACCCTCAGGCACCTGCTCTGCGAGTTCAACTTGGAGAAACCCTGTGCAAAAAGGGAAAAGCAAGGCTTGGAGTAAGAAAAGCTTGGGCTCAAAGTCCATTGCCCTTACGCATCGGCTGTATGAACACTTAGCAATCTGTCTGCTAAGTCACCATAGTACCACGCTGTCTGCAGCACCGGAATTTATCAGCCACATTTGACAATCCTGTAAATAACCTAGCTCTGAATCTGAAAATGAGAAACTAGAGATACTCAAATAATCATGATCTGATACCAAGAGCATATCCAAAATCATCTGCCCAATTTATAAATTGAAGCAAATCCAGAGAACCAACTGTGTTCTTCAAAGATCTGGGTGTGGCCAGAGCACTGGAAGTCTCACAGCAAATGTGTTTTGGCCGAGACTTCCACCAGTTTAGACAGTGCGTGCAAGCCCATCACCTGGACACCAAGAGGCAAGAACAGAGCAAGCCCTGCTAACCCCAAGAGCACAGTCTACCTGCCCTCCGCATCCTGGCCCAAGCCTTCTGGGCTCAACGACAGCAAGAGGCAATCACAGAGAAGCTTTAAGGGTTCACAGAAATTCACACCAAGTGTCAAAGGTGAGCTGTGTTTAGCTGCCCAACGACTGCGGTCAGTAAGGCTGCTCAAGAATCTAGGGCAGTGGCTCTCAAACAGGAGTGACTCTGCTGCCCCCACATCCGACGAGGGGGACGGCGAGGGGGACGCTTCTGGCAATGTCTGGAGACATGTTTGGTTGTCACCGCTGGGGAGGCAGAGGGTGAGCTGCTTGGACCTAAGTGCAGGTCAGGGATGCTGCTGACCTTACAGTGCACAGGATGGTCTCCCCCAGCTAAGAACGATCCAGCCCAAGACGTCATGAGTGCCACTGCTGAGACGCTGTGGCCGAGTCAACCTCAGGAGACAGCAGAGCTGTAGTACTTCAAACACTTACAGTTCCTCATCCCAGGGCAATCATCTCTTCCCTGTGACAGTACTTCTACCCTTACAGACTTTGCAGACACAAACTAAAGCTCAGCCTGGGAGGTGGGGACAGAGAGCAACCACAAGAGACCAAGGGAGGGAAGCAGGAAGCTTTCTTCCAACAGTTTGGCTTCAAAGCTACAGTGCTTATGGCTAGACAAAAGCACAGCAAACTATTATCGGTTTTGGCATCCAAACCTGAGGACCAAAAGACTCGAACATTTCTAAACAAAGACACACAGATCAGGAGCAGCCTCTGGGAGTGTGAGAAAAGCAGATCTAATAATGCAAAAGAAATAGGTCAACCAGAGGTAGTATGTGATGTTACAATTTTCATTTCTGTTGATGTTTTCAATTAAAACAGCCCCAACACTATTTCTTCATGCTTCTACAGTACAGTGCTATGGGGGACCTTATAATCCCACTTTAGTAATTCATGGACACGAAGACTGATTTTCAAATTATTGCTTTAATTACCGGTACAACATCGACCAGAATGAACAGAGCCTCGTGCCCGGCATATAGCAGACGTTCAACAAATGTTTTATAAACGAACAAATGAATGAATGTGACACAGGACATAATTTAGCCCTGCCATTCTACTTTCAGAATATGGAATAAAGACCTGAGAAGTTTATAAATCAAAACTACCAATGAATATTCAACATATTTAATCATATTAGGGAATTACAGCTAGAGAGGAATTAGAAAACCTTACTACTTAATCCTGTTTCCTAAAGCAAAAAAATCCTTCACTCTCCATCAGTCAAGGTGGGAGCAATGCTCAACAACACTCACTCACGTCTTGCATACCCTGCGCTCTGACAGTATCTTGCTGGTTCTTTTGACTATCTCACCACCTTCCTTTCTCCACAGTGAAACAGAACAGCAATCAGGGACTAGACCCCTGCCACCTACTAAATTCAGCATTTGTAATACATGTACTTAAATTATTATGCCTTTTAATACTAGGCCTGGCGAGGCCCAACAGTCCCACCCTCCAATAATATATTTCTGTTCTGAGTCCACTAAGAATGAACCTTATTTCAGGGCACCATACAGACAAGAAAATGAAACAACAGCTAATATTAGCCCTTCATCTTCTCCTCCTTTAACTTAAAAAGAAGCCCATTATAGAACTACAGAATCAAGAAAATGAGAGCCGACAGTGGTTCCACCCCTGCCTCACAAGCACAAGGTCCCAAGTTCAATCCCCGGTACCGGAGAGGGTTAGGGGGGATGCCACCTCCCCAAGAAAATGAGAGCCGAGAAAACACATTGTGGCACACACCTGTAGCCTCAGCACTCATAAGGTGGAGGTGGGAGAAGAGCTGAGTCCAGGAGTTTGAGGCCAGCCTGGGCAACAGAGCAAGACCCCATCTCAAAATACGGCCCCAGCCACCTTCCCCCATGCCTGTCAAACTCCCACCCTGGAGGCCCTGTGGCTGCTTCCTGCACTTGCCACTGCTGTATCCTCTAGATTCACACAGCCCGTGCACTCACTCCATTCAAGTTTCCCCCCAGATGTCAGTGTCACTTCTTCAAAGAGCCCTTGCCAGGCACTCTGTGTAAATAAATGAGCTACGCCCTTTATGGAGAAGAGAATGACAAAAATCCAACTCCGGGACTGGTTGTAAAAAGACTGTCCTAGAAATGACTGAATCGGCAGTGCAAAGAGGAACGATGTTTTTTGAGTGAGCTTGCCTATGCTGTGAGTAACTGAAAGATGTCACTTTCATAACAGACCCAGTTTTAAACATCAAAAGGACAGCTCTTGAGAGTCTCATTGCCACAGAATACTCTGAAACGCTACCCTACTTATTATTATGTTCCGGAATCTAAAGGAGTAGCTCAAACCAAAATCTTTGGTGGAACGATGTATCGCAAAGGAATTACCTGGAGCTTTCTGCTTCTAGGAGGGCTCAGTAAGCTGCTAAGGACTCCAGCCTGCTACCGATGACAACTGTAATTCTGGACAAAGGACCAAGGAGTTAGTGTCACTCTGACCCTGGGAGCAGGCTGGAGCACCCCAAGGACAGCTGTCTGGCCTGAAGACGAGAGTCCAGGGCAAACCCTGGCCCTGGAAACAGGAGGAAATCCCACAACGGACAGCGCCGAAGATGGGGAGCTCCCTGCACTGTGTATAAGCTGGCACATCTGCGGCCCCCTCCCACACCACCCACGCTTGGCACAGTGTGTAGGCTGACCGGCTAAATATAAAAGAAGTCATTCCAACCAAATTAACTGCCTGCTGAAACACTTTTCAGAATAAAAATCAAGGAAAACCACGCCAAGGCACATCAGAATCACACTACTGACACCTAAACAAAGAAAAAAAATCTTAAAAGCAGCAGAGAAAATCACAGATTACAAATAGGGAAAGAAAAATCTGAAAAGCCTCTGAGCTGACACCAGGAACAGACACGCATTGAAGGTGCCGTGAAAGTGGGGAACTCTTCCGAAGACAGGACACCCAAGCCCTGGGCACAGGACCACTGCCCATCTGACTTCTCTTAGGTGTCTCTGCAGTTATGTGGTTATGCTCCAGGAGCTCAGGGACCTGACTCAACAGCTTAGAAGGTGGGCAGGGGACAGGGAGGGCAGCCAGCCACTATCACACCTCTCTTCAGCATTCCTACACCGTTCAGATGAGAGCCACACTCTTCACACTCTCTGCACGTCCTGTCTCCTTATACAGATGCTACTCCACCTGAGCTGGAAATCTCTGCCCAGAGCATGCGGGACCTGAGTGTCCAAGGATGGTGACATAAAGATCGCCTTTGTTCTAAGCCAGACCCCTTGTTAAGTAATTATTAGAAAAGAATGAAAAACTTTAACACATAGGTCCTATCTGGTACCCCTAAGAAAATTTAAATAGCTAGGGCTCAATAGATTTCAGACACCATGGACACCTAGAATTTATGCTTATTACTTAGTCTGGAAACAGAGCATAAAAGAGGCCAAATTGCCCTGCCTTTTCTGAAATGACAGCGGTTCCCTGGTTGGCTCAATCAGCCAATATGCTGACTTCAAATCACTTTCCCTGAAGGACTAGAATCTGCCAGATTGCCTGGGAACTACCTGCTGCTAATTTTATAAAGACCTGCTAACCATAACATAATGAATAGGTCAAGCCCACAAGGAGGTGGAAGAACCACCTTGAGAAGCATCTTAATGCCATCCTCCTACAGGCGGGAGAGCTACCAGTGTCTCACTATCCCTGGTACCTGGCTATACGCAAAGGGCCAGCAATTTCAAGTGCTGCCCAAAACACCTGCCTCTCTTAAGTCAAAAGCACAGTAAAAATATTTAGAGAACAGAGCGTGATTCTCCAGCTTGAAACGATTTCCTTTTCTTAAAAAAAGAAATAGAAAAAAATGTATTCCTAATACGAAAGCTTTTTAGAATAGCCCATTTGGAAAGTTTCTGGCATTTCCAACTAGGTATTGTACTGTTGCAATGGGCTGCCATGTAATCAAAGAGGACTACTTATTTCCCACCAGACTTAGAGAAAAGATTTGTTCTGGCAAGTCCTCTAATGGATTTCAGTCATCGTTCACAGGGTGGCACTAGCTTTTCCGTATTCCTACCGATCTCAAAGAAAACTCAGGAAAAACAGAAACCAAAGGCTGCTCCACTAGTCCACTATGTGAGCAGCATTTGCCTGTCACAGAATAAGTGCTTTATTCAATGGCACTCATAAAGCTGTAACTGAGAAAGAAAATAAATGAAATTTTGGGGAAAACAGAACTTGGAGAAGTCTATTTACAGAATTTTTATTAACACACAAGATAAACTCTGGGATCAAAAGTGTTTAGAATAGTCTTTGAACAGCCTCAGGTAATGAATTCAATTAAATAATTAAAAACGATTGACATTAGTCAGAAAAAATATTTGAAAAAGATAGCTAGGTACTTCGTGCAGGAGTAAATACAGTGACAAGTATGGAGCAAAGGGAAATTATGAAGAGGATTAGTGAGTTAGTTACAGCTGCCTGTAACATAGCAGAATGTATACAATGGCTTCTGTCTTCTTTGATTTTAAGGGTTAAGAAGGAAGCAAATAATCACTGACCATCCTTTTAGTATACTTATGTGTATTATGTTAGATTTCTCTTTAGCCCTGAGGTCAAAGAAGCTAATCAACTTATTAAAGCTCACAAAATGACTGTTCTCAGGTCTGTATCACTTTAAACTCAAATGTCTTTTTTCTATTACTACATGCTACCGCACAGTTAATATTTCAAATGAATTAGTTCTCCAATGAAATTGTTTTGAAAACTGGACTAGCTCAAACATCCTTTTCCAGACAAACTATCCCTAAAACATACTAATTTTCTTGAACAAGAGTCTAGTAACACATGGCCTATCAGGCCTTTTGTCATTCTTCACTACTACCTTTTCCTGAGAAAGATCTTTATTCCAGAGTAAGTAGGGGATAGTCTGCTTAAGATCAGCTCTAAGTCAGACAAAGGTCTACTATCTAGACTCTATAAAGAACTCAAAAAAATCAGACCCCCCCAAATTCAAAGACCCAATTCAAAAATGGGCATCTGAAATGAACAGATATTTCTCAGACAAGGAAGTAAAAGCAGCAAATAAACATATGAAAAAATGTTCAACATCCCTGGTCACTCAAGAGATGCAGATGAAAACAATGCTGAGATTCCACCTCACCCCAGAAAGAATGACTGCTATCAGGAAATCAACCAATAACAAGTGCTGGCGGGGCTGTGAGGAAAGAGCAACCCTGCTCCACTGCTGGTGGGAGTGCAGACTGGTGCAACTACTGTGGAAATCAGTATGGGGATAGCTCAAACAGCTAGGTTTGAGGTTCCATTTGACCCAGCTATTCCCCTGTTGGGGATCTTCCCCAAAGCATTAAAAGAATCATACCACAGTGATATATGTGCACCCATGTTTATAGCAGCACAGTTATAGCTAAAACTTGGAAACAGCCCAATTGCCCATCAACTGCAGAGTGGATAAAGATGATGTAGTTTTTTTATAAAATGGAGTACTACTTAGCTATAAAGAATGAGAAACTAGAGACATTTACAGCTAAGTGGATGCACCTTGAGGCCATACTCTTAAGTGAAATAAATAGGACACACGTGTAAATACCGAATAGTTTCTCTGGTGTGAAAAACTGAACGTGTAAATAAGAATCAAAATGTATAATTGATATTGTAAAATAGGAAGAAAATATTTAAAGGCATACGGGAGGGGAAGGGGAAAGGAAAGAAGGGAAAAGAAAAAATACGAGAAAAGGAAAAACATGGAAACAAAGTCTCTGTAAATAGGGAAGGGTGGAGGGGGTGAAGTGAGGGCAGGGGAATGGGGAAAAAATAATAACCAAGATACATCATATAAAGGTACAAGCACCCAATGATGAATGTAACTGTACTGTATACCAATAAAATGGACAAAAAAAAAAAAGATCAGCTCTAAGGCCTCACATTTAAGAGATGGGTTGCACTGCTAGATTGCCATGTTGAACTTAAAGCCCTCAGAAATAATCCCCTATCCTGCACATTTAGCTACTACTTTCCCTGTAAAATACATCATCTAACTCTAAGAGACAAGAGTAAAGAACGAGAAAGACCCTGTGAGACATTCTAAAAAAGAAGGTTCAGTATCTTCAATTCCAAGTATCAAACTCCAGACGTCAGGAGGCTTTTACAGGACGCTGGGAAATGACAGAGTTTCTTCCCCAGTCCTTTGGGAGTGGATTAAAACTGCACTTTCTGGACTTAGAAACACTAAAGCTCAGCTCCTCTGTGACTCATGATGGCCTTGAGCAAATTAACTAACCTCTCTAAGCCTCAGTTCCCACAGATATAAAATGAAGACACAGTGATAATGACACACATCACATATACTAATTATCGTGCCCAAGTCCTGCATTCTTCCTACCCATGAGCTCTCTCATCACTGTTAAACTCATCGGCTTGGAGGAAGTCTACAGGACAACTGAGGGGGTTTGTAAACCTTCACGGAACCAGCACCAATTTCAGCTGTTGAGGCTTTAGATTTGGAAAGTGAGTAGCACCAATGGAAATGGCAAGACCTGGAAAAGCAGCAAGCAGAAACTTCACAGGGAAAGGAATGCATACAGGTTTAAAAACAAAGGGATATGTATATTCCTCTCTACTGAAAGTCAGGACACCTGAAGTTAAAGCTGGAAAAGGCATTAGAAGTGCAACATTTCATGCAGCAAAACAAAGAACCTATTTTTCCATTACCATGATGGGGACGCCAATGTCAGGCCACAGAAGGTCCTCTGAGGGCAGCTTGGGGGAATTCCACACCACTACTACCTTGTTGAGGTAAGGGAGTCCATTCAGTCTCTCTAAAGAGTTCATGAGCACTTCCTCCCTCTCGTAAGTCAGCATCACCACCGTGAACTGCTCTCTTGGCACGTTGCCTCCAAGGGCTGCCTGAAACTCCTTGCCTGAACCCCCAGCTCCGCCACCAATAGGCCGAAATCCAGTCCCTGAGCCCAAGAACTTGGCCTCTGAGGGCAACACAGGGTCAAAGGGTGTGTGAGGGAAAAGATGGAAAGGCCCTGGAGCAGAGTTCCAGCTTCGGTATAAGTCAGTGACAGTGAGAGTAAAGTTTCGGAGGTATTTGGGTGAGGCATAGGGCGGCTCGGTCTCTACCGGGCCCAGGTCCAGGTCCCCATTGTCCGCCATGTTGGGGTCAGTTCCAGCAGCCTTGCCTGAACGATGAGGGATCTCGGCTGCTACCTCTTCCTGTATGGGAGCAGCTGGGATCTGTATGCGAGTCCTAATCATAGCCAGCACGGTATTAAAAATACTGTCAGTGGTGGAGAAGTAAGTCTCCCAGAGAAAGCGACCTTGGCGCCTCATGGCCAAGAGATCACTATCAGAGAGACTTCGTAACAGGAAGTGAACCTCAGTAACACGTGGCTTAGGCACCACCAAGGCCGCCTCGTTCCACTGCAGCATGTCCTGGTATGGAAGCTGCACTTGCTCCCCCAGCACAACCGGGACAGCACCAACTTCCAGGGCTTCAAAGAGCCGTGTGGCACACCCAGATGAAATAACCAGGCGGGGATCCCCAGGAGTGATGATGAGGGCAAAGGTGGACAGCTTCAGCAATTCTAGGCGATCCTCGCGCTCCCCACACAGTGCCCACTCCGTAGGCAGACTCAGCTTCGGCTGGTTTTTGCAGGTAAATTCCACCAGGACCTGATCCAACTTGCTGTCCTGTACTGCCTTGAGGGTGGCAATGATCCGATCATCATAGTCAGCAGGGGGGTCGCCCTCCATTTCTTCTTCAAAGGAGCGGGCCTCCTGAAGGCTGGATCTCAGAGATTCAATCTTCTCACCCTGGAAGGTGAAGAGATATTTCCGCTTCACTGGCACCTGTGGTGGGATTTCCATGAAGTTGGGTTCTGACATGGCATGGACTAGGGGAGAGACGACCAAGTCAAAGCCAGGCCTGTACTGGGCAGCATAGAAAGTGGACTGGGCCACCATGGCACGGCCTATACTGACATTGTACAGTAAATTCTGGGTGTCTGACTTCCGGGACAGATTAATAATGACATGGTTGTGTCCATCTGTCCGCCAGTGTGGTAGAGAATGCAACTGCTTCTCAAGGTCAGCAGCCCGCAGCACTACTGGCTCCTGCATTTCTCCCACTAAAACCACATAAAGGCAGGCAATGTCTGCATTCTCTGTAACATAGACATTGGCTCGTGTTGTTGCCTGAAAAGCCTGCTTGACCAAGGGATCCAGGTAGCTGCTGAAAACAAACTGATCACTGTCATAAACATACACTGGAAAACCAGAAGTGAGAGGACAACGAGAATAATCAAAACAATTATGCAGCCGGCAACCCCATGCGGCCTTTGGAGGAGGAAGACCAGCATCGTCCTTCTCAGGGAGCAATCGGATGGGCAGAGAAAGTTTGGGCTGATTCTGAGCCATCAGCTCTTTGTAAGAGTGCTCCGTCTGGCTGATGACATTCTTGAGCTGCAGCAAGTCCTGCTTGGCATTCTCAATGCTTTTCTTACAGGCTTCAATCTTCAGGTTCAGCCTGGCAATCTCACTATTCAGCTCCTGCCTCTTTGCTTCCAGCTGTAAGAGCTCTTCGCTCACAGACTCACGGATGCGGCAGAGATCCAGCACATGTTTTACCTCACAGAGCTCATTACCAGCCCGTGGGCCAAAAATCCGCTTGCCTGCCTCATCTGCCTCATCCAGGGTGGTGAGATAGTAGTGAGCAATGAGGGGGAAGAAAACCAGGATGATGAAGAGCGTAAAACTGAGCCACGTGAGCCGGATGCGGTTGGACCAGCGCAACATACAGGTTTGACCTCCATTCCCCACACCCCCATTCCGCAACATGGTATAGCCGGTCATGAGTTCTTTGTGGCTGCTGCCCTCTCTGATCACGTCGGATCACTCGCCATCACCATGAGTTTCGATTCGGCAAAATTCAACCTCTTTTCACTCAGATGTTTCCAGAAGAGTTAGTGTGCTCCCTCTACAAGGCACCATGTAAAATGGAAATTTCATTTTCCTCAGCTATGACTGAAACAGTCTCTGACCCTATTCTGGTAGATTTTAAATTCCACTTGTTGACCAAAGAACATGTTCTTCATCTTCATCAAACAGTAAAAGGTGCCGCATTGTTGCCACGGTGAAAGGGAGGAGAAGCCTGATGATGAAACCCAGGAAAAATACCTTGGAATCAGACAGACCATTTCAACTGCCATAGCTCTTGTTCCTTGGTTTTGCTGACCCACACATATACATAGTTTCTATTCACAGGACAGTAAATTCTGGGTGTCCAACTTCCAGGACAGATTATACAGTAGCTGGTTAGAACAGCTTCGGTTAAAAATGCCAGCCTCTTATCAATGTCACTGATAACAATCAGGCCTGAAAAAGAAAGAAAAGCATGTCAGTTGTGAAAAGATTATGTTCAATAACGACCCCCCAGTACATTTACAAAAAACGCTTAAATCTGCTGAGGTGGAACAGTGATAGGAACTGGTTTGTGTCTCAAAGAACCATTTAAATCCAAAGTAGAGGTCTGTCTGGTGTGGGCATGTTACTTCTGGTTAGTAAGAAATGGATACAGGCCCCTAAAGAGCTTCAGTCTGCTTGCCTCCAGCCAGCCTCTTCCTGTATCACTGGCTTGAGAGAGTGGTACAAGAACTCTCTGAAGTGATGGTCCACTAAAATCAACAGTGGATGAAGATGTCTACAAGAACAATTGTTACCTGAGACCTGGGCATCATCCTCACATGGAGAGAAACACTGTCCTATCCAACCTGAGTGGCTACATTCACTCTGAACATGAAAGTTTCCTTTTGACCTGCTTAGCAAAAGAAAGAGATTTGAGAAGCTCAATTTAGAGTGGAAAAGAGTTGAAGAGAATGCCTTTGCTCTTCACCCAGTAGCAGATACAGGAATCTAGAGATGAAAGCTATTTCCCTGTTTGCTTCTATTTATCTTCCATTAGCAGACATCAAGTCTTCCTTCTTAAAACAGAAACAGTAAGTCGGTCTCTCAGAAGAGCACTATATTTAGGAATGAGAGGCATTCCTTCACGCTCCTCAGGGGCAGACTTGCTCCCAGACCTCATGCCTCAATGTCCTAACTGTCTAAGATGGAGGTGAGTGCGTGGAGAAGAAACAGTCTGCCGCAACGAGATGAAGTGCAGAAGATGCGAGGGTGCTCAGGCTAGGTCATGGGGAAGCAGCACTGGCAGTCCTATGCTCTCACCAAACTTTAGTTTTTACTATTTTTTTTTTGGGGGGGGTACTGGGGATCAAACTCAGGACCTTGTGGCTTGTGAAGCAAGCGCCGGAACCACTGAGCTAAATCCCCGGCCCTTCTCACCAAACTTTAGGATCACACTTCACAAAAGCTTTCTGCTTTCTCCTCAAATCCAACATATCCAGAAGTCAATCACAATATGGTGTGCAGAGACTATTCCCTACTTCTTTCACTCATTTCTTCCAAAAAAAAAATATGCACCGTACTCCTGACACATGCAAGAGATGCTATTGTCACTGTGGAAGAATCTAAAGTGCATAGCAATGGTTAATCACAGAACTTCATTTACCCTAAGAGACACACTATGAACACCAAAGGTACTACTACAAGGTAGCATAAAATAAGTGCTATATTATCTCACAGAGCCTGGACTACTCTCTCCAGCTTCCACCTCTGTTCAAGATGCAAAACTACAGGAGATTTGCTAAGAGTCTTCTTTCTCTTTAACAACAAAAAGTTGATAGCAGTGTTACTAAAAGGCACAAGCAGAACAAGTGATAAGGACCACAAAGACAAAAAGAAAACTCTATCCAGGAAAAGATTAAGTCTAGATAATCTAAACTTGGATAATTAAGGGTCTGCCAAGCATCACTAAGAACATAGGGAAGTCAGTATTTTCAAAGCATTCCCATTATCCTTCTGATTCAAGTGTTGAAATCTCTCTTTCGCAGATGCACTCATGATCAAATCACAGCAAGGAAGAATGAAATGAAAGAAAACAAGAAAACAAAGTCAAGGCAATATAGTGATCCCCCCTTTCCTACCCTATGTGCAGGACCCTGCCTTCCTCTGGCTTCTGTAGCATTACACTTCCATACAGGATTTCTTGGAAGTGAATACCATGGCCTAATCTTAAAAGAAAATAGAAAAGTGATATACCATTAGAAAAATACTCAATACTTAAGGAACTATTAAAGAATTTCCTTACTATCCCTCTGAAAAGGCTTCCCTTATGTATATATACAATATGGCGGCATTAGTTTGCGCCACAGATGTTGATAAAACACTCTAGCAGGGCCAGGGATAATTTAGCTCAGTGGTTTCAGCTGCCTGCTGCACAAGCACAAGGACCTGAGTTCGATCCCTGGTACCAAAACAAAAAAAACCCCACTCTAGCAGACAGGTGTAAGCCAGGACCCTCATAGGCAAACTACCTAAGTATAGGGTACCTGCCACATGCTTGAGAAGGGAGTGAGGCAAATACCAAAATGTGGCACGTCCTTACCTTGTGTAAGTATATACTGGGCCATTCAGGGAGGAGATGATAAACCTGGCTGAGGGTGGTGAGGAGTATCTAGAGCAACAGACGGACCAACTTTAGCCACCAGCTGACTGCCGTGCACGTAAAATGACAGGCAGACACGGAGGTTTACAACAGTATGCACTCTGCTTCTGCCTGTGTTTGAAATTTTTCATACTGGAAGCTCAAAAAAATTACAGAATCTAAACAAATGTTTTTTTAAAAGTCATTTTGAGACTATATTTAGTCTAATATTTCTGGTGCTACCAATTTATATGCAGAGCTGAGTGTGAAACAAATGTTCTAATGGAAACCAATAGTTCAATAATGACTCAAAAGAATTTATCCCTATTAAGTTCCATCAAAAAATCTTTTACTGGAATACGGTAAAAGTGTCATCAGTGTCCAATGGCATCAACTTTCCTTCCTAAAAAGCTAATTAACTTATTTCAAGCACAAAAGAAAAAGCACCCTGAGAATCTCTCCTGTCATTCTCTGGGAAACGACAGTGAAGTACTAGGATCTAGGAATACACGTCACTGCAACACTGATACGGAACTCTCTAGAAACGTATGGTCCCACACAGTATATGCATCTAATTCTCACCACGGCACGCTGCCTTAGCAACTGGCTTCCATTCCTATCCCTACAATGCACCTACACACAGCAACCAGAATCCTCTTCAAACATGAAGTAGACCTGCCCCTTCCCTCCTCACACAACTTCAGTGCTTCCCACTGCACCGCCAGGCCCTTCCTGACAGCCCCACGACATCTAATCTCACTCACCATCGCTGACTGCCTTGCTCACTGAGCTGTGTGGCTACAGGGGCTTTCCTGCAACTTCTCAGCAGCGCCAAGCTCTGTACAGCCCCAGAACCTTCACACCTGCTGCTCTTTTGTGTGAAATGTCCCCTCACTCCTGAACCCTGCTTTTTCCAGGTGATTCTTATTGTTCAGGCCAACTTTCTTGACATTTTCATTTTAAAGTGCCTTTCTTGTTCCCTGATGCTTTCTGGCATTAACCTACTGATGTCCTTCATAATATCTTCTCATGCATTCATCCATAACCGCCTTCCCCACCAAGACCTACTGCTTCAGGGCAGGAATTTTGGCAGCTCCACTCCCTGCTATATCATCAGCACCCAGCACTGCATCCAGACATTCTAAGTTTGTTAAATAACTGATTCTGCATATGTCATTGATCACTTCCTCATTCTATAAACTCTGCTGTTCTCTTGGTTTCCAAGAAACTGTGGGACTTTTGTTTGGGGGGTTTTTGTTTTGTTTGTGTTTTTGGTGTTCCACCCACCCATCTCCGACTCATGTTCCCTATCTGCTTTGGGGCCACCTACTCTTCCTCCTACGGCCTACCCCAAGGTTCCCAACACCATCTGTGAAGGAAAGCATCCACTTCAAAGGCTTTAACTACCACCTATCACCACCACCCCAACCCACCCCCAGCCACAACTCCAACCCTTGCCCTTCTGTTTGTACTTTTGGTGGTGGTGGTGGTGCTGGGGATTGAGCCTGGGACCTCAGGCACTGCTGGCAAGTGCTCCACCTAGCTATACCCCTGGCCCAATTTGTTTGTTCATCAGTAAAAAGATAACACCTATGATCAGGACTGTTATAAAAATTAGATAGTAAATAAAAAACATACTGCATGGTATCTGGCATAAAGGAGATTATTAGCTACCAGCCTGGGAGTTATTTTTAATTCCTCCAACTTCTTACATCCACATTTAATCTGCTAAATCTTGCCAATTACTTGAAGTAATTATCAAAATTATATATTTGTAATAGTAACGTATAATGATTTATTATTTATCCCTTTCTTTATCCAACTAACTTTACCTTAGTCCCGACTCTCAAATCACAACACCAAATCTTACATTCTCCACCAATTTGTCCTCTGTATTACTCTAAATCAATTATTTTATCTCACTTAATAGTGCTTCAGTTTGAATAATTTCAGTTGATCTGTCTTTGGGCTCTCCAACCCATTCTTCAGTCTGTTAATTTCACCAAATAAATTCTTAATTTCAGGCATATTTTTCCCAGGTTTACCATGTACATTGGGCTCTTTTTGAGATACTCCATTTTGCACTAGAAATTCTCATCTATTCTTTTTATTTTTTCTGGGATACAAGGTCTCACCATGTTACTAAATTGTTCAAGTTGGGCTCCAACTCCTCAGCCTCCCAGAGTACTGGGATTACAGGCTTACAGGCATGCCTAGCTTTGTTCTATTTTCTTTCGCATATTTATAAGAATTAAATTTTTATATGCTAATTCCAATAACTGGGCCACCTGTGGAGGTGACACAGCTAAAAGGAACCTTGGCCAGAGCCGGCACCATGCTGCTTGGATTTTCAAACTCCAAACACTGTGAGCTAAATAAATCTCTTTAAAGCCGCAAGTATTTCGTAACAGTAACAGAAAGCGGCCTAATACAGTAGTGTACATAATATAGAGATGACTGAATGTACACAGGAGGATATGCGTAAACAAAGGCAAACACTATGCCACTTTAATATAAACAATGTAAGTATCGGCAGATTTTGGCATCCCCAGGAGTTCCTGGAACCAATTCCTCTCAAAGGACTGTATTCAATTCTCTTTAGAGCTTACCCTTAAAGTGTAACATGCATTCATCATTAACCAGGTAAAAAGTTTAGTTATTTCCTTTCTCTGCTCAATTAGTAAGATTTTTAGAACACTACCTACGACAACCTGTATCAAGTTATACACCATTATTAACTAATATTGTAGCCCCACTTCGTTTCTATCCTCTCCATATGTTCTCAACAGCAGAACCCACATCTGTTTAGATTTCACCCACACACTGACCAACT